TACACCACAGTGTTCCCCCTGGCGAAGAAGTCTGAGGTGACTTCTACACTGATCAGGTGGTTGCTTACCACTGCAGACACTCGTGGTCGTCGTGTCAGCTGTCTTCACTCCGACCGTGGGGGTGAGTTTCGCTCCGGCGTACTAGCTGGATTCTGTCGCGAGCAGGGCATCCGTCAGTCATGGACGCTTCAAGAGTCCCCACAACAAAATAAAATTGCTGAGCGCCGCATAGGCTTGGTCATGGAGATTGCCCGCACCTCCATGACTCACAAACGTGCCCCCATTTTGTGGCCCTATGTGGTTCGGTACGCTGCTCACCAGCTGAACCTCTGGCCAAATGTCTCTAGGCAAGAGGTATCGCCGACCAGTCTTATGACCGGGTCCTCCTGGTGGTGCGTCACGTTTTCGTGTCTGGGGTTGCTTGGCACTTGTTCGCGACACCTCCGCGGACAAGATCTCGCCTCGCGCCGTTCCCTGTGTCTTCCTTGGTTTCCCTGAGGACTCCTCTGACTTCACCTTTACCACCCTCCCCTTCACTGGTGCTTTGACTCCCGTGACGTCCGTTTCGACGAGTCCGTCCCCTATTACGTCAGGTACCCATGTCAAGGTCTCCCGGTTCCTCCTCCCCCTCTCTTCCTGACTTCCACTCCACCTCCTGCTCCCCCGGTACAGCCTCCCCCCCCTGGTCCAGCCCCGTCAGGTGTGTCCCACGCTACCCCTCCCCCCTCGGTAGCCCCTTCAGGTGCAGACTCCTTCCCCGTAGTCCTCCTCCCAGCCTATTGCAGACCCTGTGGGAGCCAGCGTTCGTGACGAGGGCCTTGGCGGCGCTATCTCTAGAGGAGTTGGAGTTGGAGCTGAGAGCGTACGTGTCCGAGGTCCTGGTTCTGGGGGTGCTGGAGTTGGAGCTAAGCCCGTGCCTGCAGGAGCCGCTGGTCTTCGGGGAGCTGGTGTTAGTCGAGCTGTCCCTGGGGGTGCTACGACTGGGGGTGCGCCCTCTGCTGGACCTGGAGAGCCTGGGACTGACACTTTTACTTCTGGTGGTGCTGGCTCTGGGGGTGGTGCGGCTGGTGCCTTCGAGGTAGTCACGGGGCTACCCCTGCCCCGGACACTACTCCGCGCCCGCACCCCTACCCGACCCGGCACTATGCCCGTCTTCGTCGTGCATGTGAGGAGCAGTTGGAGTTGGAGAGAGAGAGCCTCGAGTTGGAGCGGCAGCAATTGGAGCTACGGCACTTGGAGGAGCAGCAGCAGCAGCCACAGCTGGAGGAGCAGCAGAAGCAGCAGCACCAGCAGCAGCAGCAGCAGCAGCGCAGCAACAGCAGCAGCAGCAGCAGCAGCAGCAGCAGCAGCAGCAGCAGCAGCAGCCGCCACCTCCTCCTCCTGTCTCTGGTCTTCGGACCCTCGGTCTCCCCTCTCCCTCTCCTCCCTCCTCCCCCTCTCCTCCCGTCTCTGGTCCTCCGCTTCCTCCTCCTGACCCCTCCCCAGTTGTTTTCCCTCGTTCTCAGCCACTGTTGTCCCCTCCTGTTTCTCACACTTGGCCTTCTCGTCGCTCTCCTCGTGCTCGTCCCTCGTCCCCTGTTCCCGTCACTGACCTTCGTACAGCCCTATTTCGTTCTAGTCCACCTCGTTCGTCTCCTTCTGTACTTCCTTCTCATGTACCTGATAACTTGTACTCGCCCGGACCTCGCCTTCCCTCTCAGCGTCCTTGCTCGCTTTGTTGCGCCAGGGAGACACCGTCCTGTTCACTGGACAGCAGCTGTGAGGGTGGCGAAGTACCTAGCGACGACATCAGGCGTGGGGTTGGTTCTTGGAGGGCAGTAATCTGTCGTACTTACTGGTCACTGTGACTCTTCTTACGCTGACGACGCTGAGACTCAGGGGTACTGTTTCAGCCTGGGTTCTGGAGCTGTTTCGTGGAGGTCCACGTGTTCCTCCTCGGTCTCGACCTCTACCGCTGAGGCTGAGATCTACGCTGGTGCCATGGCGGCACAGGACCTTCTTGCTCGCCGACCTTGGTGAGCGGCCGAGCTCTGCACCGACCTTGTTCACTGACAACAAGGCGTCGATTCTCCTCTGTCGAGAGCTGCGACTGGAGAGCAGAGTGAAACACATTAACATCATGTACTCTCTTCTGCGAGAGTTGCAGAGGCGTGGACAGGCTCGCTTCGAGTTTGTGGAGTCCGAGGCCAACACTGCAGACATCTTCACCAAGGCGCTTCCGCCTTATGACCCCTAGAGGTATTGTGTGCAGTTAGGTCTTGTTGACACAGGTTCTCGTCTTGCGTAGACTTGAGTTCTCTGCTTACTTTGCTTGTACGCTTTAAATATACCTCTGTGAACTCTTGGAATGGCCTTGTGGCCCTTTTTGCTTGTGCTCAGACTGTGTGGTGACGTTGTGATCCACCCTGAGCTTTGTTTCTTGTGACTGGTCTTGTGACCGTACTGTGTTGGTTTTGCTAGACACCCCTCACTTAGGCTATGGGGATGTGTCAAATGTTGTAGCCTATAGTGAGGCATGTCATATGGGGTACAGTTGTTAGGGTTAGGTTTATGTACCCCAACCAACATTGTCAATGCATCATTTAGTTCTTGACACTAAGGAATGTACCTACTCTAATGCCATATTAAAATTTGGAAATACGAGTGTCGAGATTAACAAGGAAGGGGAGTACAAGAAGGAAACCTATAAGTGTTGTACCCCCTATAGCTAGCATCACTATAGCCTATCAGAAAAACATGCACACACACATATGTTTGACAATCTACCCAATAGGTAGCTTCCTCCATCTTACCCCTTGCCACCCTTGTCCTATGTGATGTCTCATCTGCCCTCTTCGTCCCACCTACCTCCCTTCCATCCCCAAGCCCCTTCCCCTATGAATGAGGCGAACGCTGCACCTTATTAATGCAAGTGAACCACTGTGGATCAATAAGGATGAGGCGAACTCTGCCCTTATTAATGGAGGTGAACCACTGAGGATGTACCATACTCCCTTATCAATAAGCCCTGTTTGAATTCTTGAGACTGTATAATACTCCTTTCGATAAGAATGTACCATACGCCAATAGAAGGCTCATTTGCAGGGCACTCCATAGGATCTAAGGACGCCTGATGCATCAGACGGGTCCCCGGGGCATTAGTCATGGTTTTGTCTGATGCTGACTCGTAAATCAAATATAAAAAGCATGTCTGATTGTCAGAGAAACATACCAAAAAAAAAAAAATGCTAGCGATAGCCCTGTGTCAAGATAAGCTCTTAGGCTAGGGAGCCATAGCTAGGGTTCGAGAGGAGCTTGAGCTAGGAAGTCGAGAGAATTGGGCAAAGAAGGGAGGTTCACTAAGCGAAGAGTTACAAAATATAGCAAGCTAAATGGTGCACCACCAAGCAGGACAGTTATGTAACTACACTACAGCTAGAACTACATGCACTTAGGGTACATTGCGTGCTGGACACTTTCTCAAAGAAAGTGTTCCAATCGATTGTGACGCGTATGTACAGCTCATGCTGCCAGTTGTCAGAAAACCGGGCCGCACGTGTTTTTCGCCGAACGTATTTATCATTGGACGACGTAAAATGCGGAACTGCCGCGCGCTAATTGCAAGCCAGCGCATCACATTTCCAAAGTCGCACGCGGTGCCAAATGTCCCCACATGCTGCATGTACCTGGACAACATTCAACAGACACAACAATCCCTATCAACGCGTTCAATGCAGCGTGATTGGCCGACAGAACACACACGGAATTATTGACAGGCGCGCGCAACTCCCGCTAGTGCACCTTCCCCCCAGGTCCAAGACACTTTCCCCACAACGCCTCCTCCTCCAAACACATTACGGGGTCATGAAGGTGCAACGTTTCTCCTGTTACAGTCAATCCTTCTCGTTTAGCTCTATGTCCCATCAGATCTAGATTTTGAAACGCAGCCCGTTCCCGTCATGGATCGTACGCGTAAGGGCCAGTCCCTTAACGACTGCCCCAAGGACCTCAATGAGATTCCCTACATCCGCTGGATGAACCAGCGGATTGCTAACGGCCGCAACAGTCCGGCCCGTCACGGAGAAAGCTGTTGACGACGACGATGAGGAGTACGAAGACGAAGCCGAAGGCACCGACGACGAGGATGACGAGACGGAAGATCTTGGGATGTCCCCAACAGAAGATGAGGGCGATGATGACAACGCCAACGACGACGCGGAGGAGGAAGCGCAACATGTGACACAGCGCCGCACGCGTTGTAGCCGCTGACAAATGCAAAGGCAAGGCGGTTGCACCACTGCCACGACAGGAGCCCCGGAAGAAGCGGTCGGCTGCCCCAGTCGAGAGGGGCCTGTGGTCGGACAAGGAAAGCACTATCTTCGTCGCGGCGCGTTGGTTCACCAAAGACGAACTCGAGCCGCTCAAGGGCAAGCAGGGGACGCAATTCTGGGTCCGCCTTCTCGCGCACATCAAGGAGTCGAACCCGGATTGGTGCAGGAATGTCAACGTGTTGCAGAAGCAGTGGCGCAACTTGATGGTGCTTTGGAAGGAGTACAAGCGGGGAGATGGTGGTTCGGGCAACGGTTCTGTGGAGAAACTGCCATGGTGGCCATACTTGGAGCTATACAACAATGACACCACTGCAGCCGCCCTGCATGCGGTGGACGACGGCGACGCCATGAACGTCAACGTGCAAGCCGGCATGGAGGTTCCAAGTTCCTCTCAGCCAGGCACGTCGACCGACCTTTACAGGTGAGGTCTGGTTGTTTATACGCATGTGTTTAGCGTGAACTTTTGGTAAATGTTCATCGACGGACTGTGTGTAAACATGCATCAACTGCCAGTAGCCTCACACAGATGTGAAGCTACTAATCACACTTTGTGTGCTTCTTTCCATCCCTGTCACAGCACCGCTGCCGCAAACGCCTGCTACACCTAAGCGAGCAAGGGTTCATGAGACGGCGACTATGCAAGCCGCCATGCTTGTCTCCGTGACCATCTAAGACTGTCACGGTGACGCCATGACGCGCATCGAGGGTCTCGTCCGTGAATGGATGGCGCAGGATTTGCGCCTTGCCCGCGAGCGCATGACTGAATCAGCTCCGCCACATGTGCATCGTGGAACGAATGACTTCAGCCCTCCTCCGCCACGCGGGGAGTCTGCACCACCTCCCGATCGCGGTGCGCCCGACGCTGTTGGAGGCGATGTCGGCGTGCAGCGCGGCGATGCAGGCGACGTCAACACCGTCACTCCGGGTGATGACGATGTGGAGATATGGGTGCGCGGCGCCGACGATTAGTGTAAGAATCTTGTTGCGCTTCTCCCAGTCTTTTCCGTCTCTCCCTCAGAGCCTGCTGTGTCGCGGGAACACACGGTTCCCACTTGTGATCCGCCATGGCACCCCTTGTCCACCATGGATCGCGGTCGCGGGGCAGATGGAACCATGCCATGTTCATACGCCTAACGTCAGCCATGTTTTCGCACATGTTGTGCAGGATCACACAACAAGCGGCCCCTGCAAGGATTCATCATAACCTGCAGTCATTGCGCCCGTTGAAAAGGCGCCATCTCCCTTTGAAGGTGCCGATGCACCTTTCTACAGCCATGCGCGTTGCGCTTTGGCAGTAGTTAAAACAATGGGCCCAGTCGTCCATTAGGTCCTCTCCGCGCGGGGCATGCAGTGGGGTTAGGCCGTATTTTCTGAGCGGGTATGTCGCATCCCCAACAATCTGGTATGGGGCTATGTCACCGTTTTGTAACCTTTCCAGTAGTGCAAAGTTTTTGAAAACACGCTGGTCGTGCGCGCTTCCGGGATAACCGATGAGGTAATCCCATATTCGTCCCCGTGCATCACACGTGATCTGGAGCTGTACGGCGTATGCCGACTTTCTTGTCCAATACTCGGTCCGGTATCCCTCCATCCCTTTCATGTGGATGTGAGTCCCGTCTATAGCCCCCACCACTGCAGGTACCCCTTTGATGGCAGGGAATTCCAACGCCAATTCTGGAAGTTCTGCTCGTGTGGGGAATCGCACCCAGGCGGCCTTGAATAGGGCGGGGAACTCGGTGAGGAAGAGGTCGACTAGCTCGTAGCAGAGTGTCTTGGAGACTCCAAAAAGGTACGACATGTCGACGTAGGAGATCTCGCTTGCTAGATACTTTATTGGGATGAGCAACGCAGTGTCCATGGTAATCCTGGAGCGATAGATGACCGGTTCAAGACATTGACGCATGCCTGTCTTGATGTGCTCAAGGATGGCGCGGTTGATTCTGAATATGTCCGGGAAGTCGTTCTCTCTCATGTAATGCAGGTCGTCAACCCACAGCGCATGGCGTTGTCGTCGTACTCTCGCTCTGTGACGGCGGTTCTGCGCGTTGTCGTCCCCAAGTGATGACGTCTGCTCGTCCGCGTCTTCCAGTATACCACCCTCAATCATGCCGACAAAAGACTTGGCGACAATTTCGTAAAAGATGGTGTAGTAGAAGGTGATCCAGGCGACGAGAAGACGTAGGATGAAGGGGATGGCCCTAGGTTCGGCCATGGTGCGTAGATTATGCGTGTGTAGTGGCTCTAGTTGTGTTCTGTTTGCTTTACGTTTTGCTTTAAGGTGATGTAGTGCTGGCGTTGTACTTTTATGAGTGGCAATTATTTGGGGTTGCGCAGAAGTTCGTAACCCTCCGCGTCCTCCCCCGCCACCCCCCAGGATCTTTTGCGGGCCTTGCAGTGTTGGTGCGTGTGACGCAGTAGATGAGTCTGCCCCCATCAAAAATGACCAATCAGAATCGTTCACATATAATTGTCGCCCTGGTCGTGCAGGGTCGCAATACATTGGTCGATTGGGACATGAGGTTCCGAGACATTTGAGGGCGACTCGGGCCAAAAGTGATTGGGACACTTTCTTTGAGAAAGTGTCTAGTGCGGAATGTACCCTTACACAGAAATATGTATATGTAATATATTCTGACACTTTCCCTAAGTGCATACAAGAATAGCCATGTACAGAACACCCCCCGAAGGGGTACACCCTGCAGGGCGCAGTAGAAGAAGCAGACGGCAAGTGAGGAGAAGGGACCAAGCGAGGAGAGGAGGTGGTGGGCGCCGGCTGAAGCTGCTGGCACACGGCGCAACTGGAGCAACTGGCACACGGGCAACTGGAGCAACTGGCACACTGGCAACTGGAGCAACTGGCACACGGGCTACTGGAGTAACTGGCTCCGCGGCTAGACGAGCGGCTGGAGCAACTGACTCACGGGCGACTGGAGCAACGGGCTCACGGGCGACTGGAGCAACGGGCTCATGGGCGACTGGAGCAACTGGCTCACGGACGAGTAGAGCTGCTGGCTTCACGGCGACCACCCCCCCTTCAACCTCCTCCATTTTCCCAAACCCCCCCCTTCACACCCTCGGCATCCCTACCGCCACTTCCACGTCTCCTCCACACCCTTCCCCCCCCACAACAATAGGTGCGGCAGTGGGAGAGAGGAGGAGGGGCGGCAGCTGGTTACTCACACCTGCCAACCCCATACCCTCCCCCCCACTGCTGCACGCGCAGCATGGAGATGGAGGAGAAAGGGGGGGGGGGGGGGGGAGCTGCGCGGGCGATAGCAGGGCGCGCGGGCGGGCAGAAGCTGTCGCGCGTCCAAGGCGCGCGACGGGCAGGAGCGCGCGACGAGCACGAAATCGACGCACGCCCGGGGCGCGCGACGGGCAGCAGAGTGGCGCATTTGACGGAAGCTAACGGTGGGCCTAGGATCGATTCTCTCGATACCATATCAAGATAAGCTCTTAGGCTAGGGAGCCATGGCTAGGGTTCGAGAGGAGCTTGAGCTAGGAAGTCGAGAGAATTGGGCAAAGAATGGGGGTTCATTAAGAGGAGTTACAAAATATAGCAAGCCAAATGGTGCACCACCAAACAGGACAGTTATATAACTACACTACAGCTAGAACTACGTGCACTTATACAGAAATATATATATAATATATTCTGACACCCTGCTCATTCGATACTCTACAATGGGGCTTCTTTGCCTACGCGGTAATGATCGAGCGCTAGTGGTGATGGAAAATGTATTGGGAATAAATTTGTTATCATTATAGCAATACACATGATACCAGTATGATGGCTCATTATTAATTAATATTTATTATACGACGAAGGGAAATGATTCGCCAACGTTTAGCGCGAGTAATTTAACAACAAATGTTTTTTTATGGTTGAATTTGAGTGTTCATCAATACATCTATAACTCAACAATACAAGAGAAAATATTGCTAGCAAAAGTCACCTCTAATGCTAAGAGGGTGTCATAAGTAGGATACTTAGGCTGCACACAACAGCATAACATACCCTTCGGTTTTTTTGTAACGGAACCGTACACTTCGAACTGAAACAGAGGGTGAAAGAAGAATGTGGTGACTGGGCATCCTTCTCGATTCTGGGGTCCAGAAGTCCCTGCGGGGCAGGGGAATGAGCAAATCCTACGGCGCACTTTCCCCTTCAAATGAAAATCGACGGAGATCGCTTTACACCGGCGAGTGCCTTGGGGCACGCTTGGTGCCACCGTGGAATCAAACCATTGGTTGCACCGATCGTCGCGACATCTTCACGCGGATAATGTCCGACATTCTCCATCGCCCCGGGATTCCCACATCTCGAGGCTGCATCAGATTCTGCGTTGGAGCGGCCCCTCTGAAACCCCATTTCTCCTCCACGAGTGTAACTGGTTTGCAAGTGTACACTCCGCACACCTGCACTCCACGCACATCTGACACCATGGCCGCCACCGCTGCATCCGCCAGCCTCAAGGCTTCCACGTTCGTGCAGCCTAAGCTCAATGCCGCCTCCCTCAAGGCTGCTCCTGTCTCCCAGGCTTTCGGCCTGAAGACTGCCTCCGCCAAGGTGTCGTGCTCTGCGGAGGAGAATGTGCGCGGCTTCGTGCAGAAGTGCGCTGATGCCGGCAAGACCGCTGCTCTTGCCCTCGCCTCCACTGCCCTGGTCGCTTCGGTAAGTTAGATGTGCATCGACGGCAAAATTGTGGAAGCATCAGAATACCGAGTTGATATCAGACTCGGAAATTTGACTTTGACAAGACGTCCCGTCTGAATCCCACCATCGGCATGGTTGGCGCTACTATGGCCAAGTTTTCGGTTTTTTCTCATCTTCCTTCTCTTTCTCGCCCTGTTCTTCGTGTCATACAGTCTGCCCAGGCCGCCATCCCCAGGCTGACCTTCGACGAGCTCCAGAGCCTGACCTACTCCGAGGTGAAGGGCAGCGGCATCGCCAACCAGTGCCCCATCATCGCCGGCGGCGTTGATGGCTTCGCCTTCAAGTCCGGCAAGTACCAGGTGACCAAGATGTGCCTGGAGCCCACCAACTTCACCGTGAAGGCGGAGTCGCAGTTCAAGGGCCAGGGCGAGGACTTCCAGAAGACCAAGCTCATGACCCGCCTCACCTACACCCTGGATGAGATCGAGGGTCCCCTGGAGGTGGACGGAAACAACCTCAAGTTCACGGAGGTTGACGGAATTGACTACGCCGCCGTCACCGTCCAACTCGCCGGTGGTGAGAGGGTTCCGTTCCTGTTCACCATCAAGGAGCTTGTTGCCTCTGGCCCCGCCGACAACTTCGGAGGGTCGTTCCTCGTGCCGTCATACCGTGGCGCTACCTTCCTTGACCCCAAGGGCCGCGGTGGCGCTCAGGGCTATGACACCGCTGTCGCTCTGCCCGCCGGTGGTTTCGGCGATGTGGAGAAACTGGAGAAGGAGAACCAGAAGAGCTACAAGTCCCTGAGCGGCAATATCAAGTTCAGCGTTGCGAAGTCGAATGTTGAGACTGGTGAGATCGGCGGTGTGTTCTCGAGCGTGCAGCCGTCGGACACAGATATGGGTGCCAAGGTGCCCAAGGATGTGAAGATCGAGGGCATCTGGTACGCCCAGCTTAACTAATTTTGCTTAGAGACCCGAGTTTATTCTCTCGTATTGTAAAACGTCTTGTAAATCAAAAGCTGCATACACAGTTTTCCCTTACAGCCCGAATCGCTTATGAGTTGCTAATGAGCTCATTAGGTTCCTTTCAGATACACACGGTCCTCGCCAATTTCAATCCTACCAATTTCACACCTCTGAGCAATCCTTTCTGGTTTACGCGAAATCGGGGGTCATTCGGACAGCCAAGGCTTTAAGTAGGAAAATGTTCGAGACTACCCTCACGACTCAGCAGGAAAACAAAGACACGGTCGAAGCGGAAGATTCAGTCTATGCGCTGTAGCCACTGAGTGAGAATTTCGCGAGATCGACACTAAACGATATCACGAATAGCCTTCAGTTCCTGACTGTTTCATCCCTACAGCCAGAAACGGTCAAGGGTGGTTTGCGGAGATTTGCAGGGAACGTGAAATTGGCGAGGGCACGGTGTACTGGTACGATGCGGTATGCCTGTGTTGAAATTGCTCGCAACCAGAATGACGGCCCCGCGTGAAAGCTGAGGGCGGGTCAAAGAGGTAAGTTGCAGCAGAAAACCCTACCTAGTGCTCTGGTTATTATACAAATTTCGTACGGTATTAGGGTACATTCAGCTGTAGAATATGTCCCAATCGATGTGTCCCAGTCGATTGAGACGCATACGTGCAGCGTATGCTGCCAGGTGTCGGAATGCCGGGCCGCCCGTGGTTGTCGCCTAATGTATTTACACCCTAATCCGCCTTATTTTCAAAGCCTCGACGGTGTTTTTCAAGAGACCCTAAACACTTTTCTGTCTAGTGAGACGGACACCCAAAGATTACAGGGATATCATAAAGTACGGAAGGTCATCCAGTGTGACGAAACTCGCACTTAGGATTGCGATTGAGCGAACGGTTTGGCAATAACGAAGTTGCTGCTTGCTGTTAGAATCTAGAGACAAGAATGAATGCATTGATCAAGAGTTGGGTACATAAGCTAACCCTAACATTGGGTTGTACCCCATATGGGCTACCCCACTAGTAGCCTACACAAATGTCAGAATGAGGAATGGATGATGCATTGATGTTGGTTGGGGTACATATAGCTAACCCTAAGTTTTGTACCCCCTAAGACAAACCTCACTATAGGCTACAACATTTGACACACCCCCATAGCCTAAGTGAGGGGTGTCTAGCAGAACCAAACGAGTACGGTCACAAGACCAGTCCAAGAAACGAAGCTCAGGGTGGATCACAACGTCACCACACAGTCTGAGCACAAACAACAGTGGCCACAAGGCCAGTCCAAGAAGTAACAGAGGTATATAGAAAGCAAAGTAAACAGTACACTCAAGCCTAAGCAACACGAGAACCAGTGTCAACAAGGCCTAACTGCACACAGCACCTCTGGTGGTCACAAGGCGGAAGCGCCTTGGTGAAGATGTCTGCAGTGTTGGCCTCGGACTCCACAAACTCAAAGCGAGCCTGTCCACGCCTCTGCAACTCTCGCAGAAGAAAGTACCTGACGTGAATGTGCTTCACTCTGCTCTCCAGTCGTGGCTCTCGACAAAGGAGAATAGACGCCTTGTTGTCAGTGAACAAGGTCGGTGCAGAGCTCGGCCGCTCACCAAGGTCGGTGAGCAAGAAGGTCAACCAACGCAGCTCCTGTGCCGCCATGGCACCAGCGTAGATCTCAGCCTCAGCTGTAGAGGTCGAGACCGAAGAGGAGCGCGTGGACCGCCAGGAAACAGCTCCAGAACCCAGGCTGAAACAGTACCCCTGAGTAGACCTGTGAGTCTCAGCGTCGTCAGCGTAAGAGGAGTCACAGTGACCAGTAAGTACGACAGACTGCTGCCCTCCAAGAACTAGCCCCACGCCTGACGTCGTCGCTAGGTACTTCGCCACCCTCACAGCTGCTGTCCAGTGAACAGGACGGTGTCTCCCTGGCGCAACAAAGCGCGCAAGAACGCTGAGAGGGAAGGCGAGGTCCGGGCGAGTACAAGTCATCAGGTACATGAGGCAACCCACAAGCTCTGCGTAGGGACCACTAGGCTCGAACGGCTCGTCAAGAAAGGGTCCAGTGAGTCTGTGGTCAACAGCAAGAGGTGTGCGCTGTACTGTGGAGTGCTGAAGCCCGAACCGCTGAAGGACCTGCTGCACCATGTGCGACTGTGAAAGTGTAATGGTGCGAGCAGCTCTGTCCCTGGTGATCTGCAGGCCAAGGTAGTGGCGCAGCTCACCAAGATCAGTGCAGGTGTGTCTCTTCTGCAGTTCGGACTTCACGTGTGCCAAAGCAACCCTGTCAGGGGTGGCGAAAACAAGGTCGTCAACGTAGACCAGAACAAAGAAAGGTGTGGGGCCACGACGAACGAACAGCGACGGGTCAGCAGAAGACGGCTGGAACCCAAGGTCAGACAGGGTAGAACGCAGGGTGTCGTGCCACTCACGAGGAGCCTGACGAAGACCGTAAACCGGTCGCCTCAGCCTCCACTGGGTCCCAGGAGGGAAAGAGCCAGTGAAGGCAGAGGGACGACGCAGCCAGACCTCCTCGTGAAGACTGCCCTGAAGGAAAGCAGTAGAGAAGTCGAGAGAGTGTAACTCGTAGTCTCTCTGTGCTGCTACGTGTAGTAACACCCGAAGAGTGGTCATCTTCGGGGTGGGCGCGAAGGTCTGAAAGAAGTCAACTCCCTCGCGCTGACTGAAACCTCTAGCCACGTAGCGCGCCTTGAAGACCGGAGGAGATCCCGGTGGCCGCTTCACCCTGTAGATCCACATGCCGTCGACTACGTTCGCCCCCGGAGGGGGAACCTCATCGACGTAGGTGCCTGTGGATCTGTAGGAGGCCATCTCTGCGTCCATGGCAGCTCTCCACTGAGAGGCCCAAGGCCCTGACACTGCCTCAGCGTAAGTGCGAGGAGTCGGAATGTCAAGGGCGTCGGGGTCACCCTCAGGGGCGAGGAGCATGGCACAGAGATGAGGGGAAGCGGCCGCCAGGAACTCTAGCTCGAACTGCCTGTCCTCTAGGGCGTCACAGCCAAGGGCAGACACACCCCCGACGGCCAGAGGACTGGAAGGAGGAGCTGCCACAAGAGCGGTGGCGAAGTCAAGGCGGCGGGTAGAGGCAAACTCAGTGACTGCGGCAGTAAGAGCGGACACAGAGGACACAGAGGCACGAGGGTGGGTAACAAGAGAGGCGAGAACACGAGAGAGAACAGGACGGTACGTGCGGTAGTAGTCAGTGACAGGGGAAGGAAGCGACACAGTGAGGGCCGACTCAGGAGGAGACGGAAGCACAGACGGAGACGGACGAGGTGGACGAGAACAAAGGAAGGCTGTACGAAGGTCAGTGAAGGGAACAGGAGACGAGGGACGAGCACGAGGGGAGCGACGAGAGGCCCAAGTCTGAGAAGGAGGAGGAGACAACGAAGACTGAGAACGAGGGAAAACAGCGGGAGAGGGGTCAGGAGGAGGAAGCGGAGGACCAGAGACGGGAGGAGAGGGGGAGGAGGAAGGAGAGGGAGACGGGAGACCAAGGGTCCGAAGACCCGAGACAGGAGGAGGAGACGGCAGCAGCTGCTGCTGCTGCTGCTGCTGCTGCTGCTGCGGCTGCTGTGGCTGCTGCTGCTCCAGCGGCTGCTGCCTCTGCTGCTGCTCCTGCTGCTGCTCCTGCTGCTGTCGCTCCTGCTCCTCGAGCCGCTGCAACTCTCTCTCCTCTCTCTCCAACTCCAGCTGCTCCTCACGAGCACGGCGAACACGAGCCTGGAACCTGGTCGGGTAGGGGTGGGGGGAAGGAGTAGTGTCCGGGGCAGCGGCAGCCCCAGAGTCGACCTCCGAAGCACCAAGCACACCACCCCCAGAGGCAGCACCAACACCAGCTCCAGACCCAGGCTCTCCAGAAACCGAAGGGACACCCTCACCCCCAGACGCAGCACCCCCAGACTCCGCACCAGCACCCCCAGACTCCGCACGACCAGTACCAGCCCCCGGAAGACAAGAGTCCTCTGCAACCCGCGGCTCAGCTCCAACTCCAGCACCCCCAGAACCAGAGACCTGTACAGGGACAGTCGCAGGACCAACCTCCCGAGAGGGAGCACCTGCAGGAGGCGGCGAGGAAGACTGTGGGGAGGGAGGCTGTACAGGGGGGGCTACCGAAGGGGGAGGGCTGGCCTGAGACACACCAGACGGGGCTGGACCAGGGGGGGAGGCTGTACCGGGGGAGCAGGCGGGGGAGCGGCTGTCAGGAAGAGGGGGGGAGGAGGAACCGGGAGACCTCGACTGGGGTACCTGACGTAGTACGGGGTGGACTCCTCGAAACGGACGTCACGGGAGTCAAAGAACCGGTGAGAGGGAGGGTGGTAAAAGGTGAAGTCAGAGGAGTCCTCAGGGAAACCAAGGAAGACACAAGGAACGGCGCGAGGCGAGAGCTTGTCCGCGGAGGTGTCGCGGACAAGAGCCAAGCACCCCCAGACACGAAACCTCGACGCGACACCAGGGGACCCTGTCCAAAGACTGGTCGGTGAAGCCTCCGGCCGAGAGACGCGTGGCCAGAGGTTCAGCTGGTGCGCGGCGTACCTGACTGCGTATGGCCACAGGAAATGGGGGGCACGGGCGTGAGTCAAGGAGGTGCGGGCAATCTCCATGACCAGGCCTATGCGACGCTCAGCAACCCCATTCTGCTGTGGGGACTCTGGAAGCGTCCAGGACTGACGAATGCCCTGTTCGCGACAGAATCCAGCGAGAATGCCGGAGCGAAACTCGCCCCCGCGGTCGGAGTGGAGACAGCTGACACGACGACCACGAGTGTCCTGCGTGGTAAGCAACCACCTGATCAGCGTAGAAGTCACCTCAGACTTCCTCGCCAGGGGGAACACTGTGGTATAGCGGGAGTAGTCGTCAACGACCACCAAAAAGAAACGCTCACGCTCAGGGCCAGGGCAAGGAGAGGGGCCCCAGACGTCCAAGTGCAGCGTCTCAAAAGGCTCGGTGGCCGGACGAAGGGAGGAGGAG